CACGAGCCGTTCACGAACAAAGAGTCGTTTTGACAACACTAATCACGTAGCCATAAGATGTTAATGATTGAGGCAAGATTTAAAAAAACATTTGAATCTAATTTAATAATTTTTATTCTATTTTTTTAATTAGAACTTTTAATTGATTATAAATTTTTGTAGCCTTGTAATCAATTGAATTTTTTTAAAAATACTACTCACCTTGAGGGGAAATTTTCGGAGCCAAACCGAGCCGAACACGAACGAACACATCTTAGTTCGTATTCAGCTCATTAACTTATCGAATAAAATTAACAAGCCGAACACGAGCTGTTCACAAATAACGAGCCGTTTTAACAGCCCTACTCTCATATATAAGTAAGATGACAGAGATATAAAAATTAAAGTTTATAGATATGTAAGGTTCACGAATAACGAGCCGTTTTGACAGCCCTACTCTCATATATAAGTAAGATGACATAGATATAAAAATTAAAGTTTATAGATATGTAAGTAAATAAGAATTGAATGGTGCGTATGCAAATCTTCCTTCTCATTTCTAATTTAAAAAGTGACATTTATATACATACCTCATAATTCTTACATATATAACTAATATTTAAAATTTTAACATTTGCTTGCATAGATTCAATCATATTAAAATACAGACATAAAAATATCTCTTAAAAAAAACTTACTATTAGCGATTTTTAATATGATGTCAACAATACGTTGTATATAAATAAATTCAGATATATAAATACATAAAATATATGTGGTATATCTATAAACCCCTCCTAAAAATGTAATATTCATCATAACCAGTCAAAATTCATAAATCCTAAAACATTCAATCAACATGTATGAGCGCCACAATTTGCACCTAACCACCACCATTTTTACATAATTGTGACAAAAAATTCTAAAACAATTTTATCAGTCAAGGCGGCCCTATATCAAAATAAGTTTAAGGCTTTCAAAATGCCAATAATTCAATACTTTTTTCCAATGAAAAAGAATAAGAAGAAGAAACATATCTCTTATGCTCATTTCAAAATGAATTATTCCTCAAGCAGCTGCTACAAAAATTACAAGATACATAAGAGATTAAACAATTGGCCCCCTGCTTTAAGGGCTCCACACTCACCCAACTACCCCAACGGTTAGAACAAAAGGCTCTTAATAATTTCAAAAAATGGCCAACGAGTGTGAAGTTATTCCCATCAATCTGCAGGAAGCTCTCTCTCCCCCTCTCTTCTGCCATTAACAGCTAAGACTGGTCAAAGAAAAAGCTGAGCTGAACTCCAACATCACACTTTCTCATAAAATAGAATGTATGCTTCGGACTGAAGCACTTCAGCTATGGAAACCTCCCTCACATAAGCATCACTGGCATAAAACCAGGCTTGCCCTGTACTGCTGCTGCTACCACTTGAGGTTCTGCTGCTCCCTCTTCCGTCGCCACGCACGTAAGCGACATAGTGGCCTCTGCTCATGCTCCCGGAATGCTCCACCACCCCGATGAGACGGTAGGAGGTTCGATCCTCGATGCACCTGAATGATTGAAAGTGTTAAATGAAGAATTAAAGTTTGTTGAAAGTTGAGTCGATTTACTCGATGCTGATTTAGCAAATCAGACTTTATTAGTAACTCCTAAAGTTTGTTATACAATGATTCTATCATAATGTTGCTTTGGAATGACAACACCTACAGGATTGAGTAGCAGAGAAGTTACAGTAGCTCCACCACCTTCAACTTGCTTGACCTGACACTATACTACAAAAGCCAGAAGCTTCGATGAAAGAGATCGAGGCTCCTCCAATCCCGAGAGACTGACGGGGGCATCTCCCGCTTACAGAGTGGACACAACTTTTCGGGATGAAAAAAAAAAGTATATATCTCGAGTGTTTCCTAGACTAAACCAGTCCAAATTTTCTCTCTTTTGCGGAGTTGGTTGGGGCTCTTGGGCCACTCATAGTTATATATTTGCTTTCATAACGTTTGAGGGTTAGGTTTTGCATGAGTTTGTTTGAGACAGTAGCCATCTCCGTTTCCCATTCAGGATTGCATCTAAGTGTTCAAGTGGTGCGCCGGTTGTATTTTGCTTTAGACGTGATGATTATCTTCTATATCCATATCCGCATCCTCCCCACATTAGTCCTAGCCGCCAATCATAATTACAACCGCCACCGAACAACAGCCTGTTGATTTTTCACAGCAATTTTCCAATTCTAGTTGTTTGTCGTCACTATTGCCGACCTAGGCAGCTGTCCTCTTGTTGTCTTGCTGACTCCCACATCCCCGGTCACTAACGTTGTCATTCCCCCCTCGCTGTTGCCGCCCAGAACAGCTGCTATTAGCTATTTTCTTCGTTTTCTAGCGTTTATTCTTGCTGCCACTTCCCAGGATAGCAACCAAACTTATTGTTCCTGCAGTTTCGCACCTTACCCTCACTGCTACCAACACCCCTTTGCTACCACCACACTTTCCAACCTATCAACCGCCCTTTGCTGCCTCTCCAGGATTCCAAACCCTCACCGATCACCACTACTAACCCGAGATTCACCCTAATCTAAACTTGTGGTCATTTGTTGCAATTTCTGATTTCCAATATCTTTCGTTGAGGTTCCTATAAGAATTCAGCAATAAAATTTATTTTCTCATTATTGTTTGGTTAACTCCAGTATCACCTACGTTAATATCCTATACTCAATATAATGGTGTTAGCCCTTTTTTCAATTTCATTCCTTTATAATTTAAACCTAACATAGTTCATTAAGAAAAAACCTAAAATAATGAATTAAGACCTCAAACCCACGAAAAACCGCAAGCCACACGCCGCAAGAAATTCCAGTATTCCTCTAGCAAGGCGATTCCTCTACTACTATTGCTTGCCACAGCTGCTTGTTGCAAGCACCGCTGCTTTCCTATAATTCTGTTGATGTTATCCCTTCGCTACTGCGCCTCTTATTTCTTTCTTTAATTATTGATTTCATTTTCTTTGATCTTCTTCATTTCCTATTCTCTATTTTGAAAGAGTTTTTCAGTTTAGATTTATATAATAATTCTTTGGGTTATAACAAGTCAAAGACACTACAGCTAAATATTTCTCGAGAATAAATTCAAAATATACTAACTTATAATATTTATTGGTTTTCTTTTTTTGTAAATTCACAAATCATACTCACTAGGTGTATTTTTTAAAATTATCTGATTTTTAGATTTATTTTGGATATGGAAATACAAATATCTAAAATTAAAGTATTGGGCCTTATAGTCTCATTACTGGGGTGCGAGTATATTTTTTTTATAAACTTCAAACCAAGTGAAGATATTGTTTGTGTACCTTAAGAATGAAATCATCAGTTTACATTTTATATAATAAGAGACTAAAAAAATAAACATTGGAGGAAGAAAGTTTTTGAGGATGATGAGATCCTTTTGTTAGTAAAGATGATTAGTAAAGATGAGCCATTGGATGATAAATGATTTATAGAAAAAAAATGAATCTATGCCATCCCAATTATAAGAAAAAAATCAAAATGTTTACTTCCTTAATGACGAAAGGAATAAGAATAGTACAGAAAATTAGTATAAAACTTGATGTAAAAGCATCTATATAGTCATTATTATAAAATCTAAATAATATTTTACTGGTTTTTATTAATCATGAAAGACTAAAATGCTTGAGATTGAAGATGATGTAGAAGATTGAGAGGATGTGACACAATCGATCATGAGGAAGGAGAGAAATTCATTAACTACACTGATCCTCTAAGTGTTCGAAGATAGAGAAATTTAAATTTATTAATTATGATCTTAAACTTCTTGTTTACATTGAATAATATTATAGACTTGTTTATTTTAGAGTTGTTATTTATGTTAATTAGTTTATCTTTGACTTCATGCTTATTATTTAGTACTTATAGCCTTATATGTCTTTTTAAAAATTTTACTTGAAATTAGTAATTATTTCATATTTTCATTAATTTAAAGTTTAATTTCAAGGCTTATGCCTCAATTCACCATGAAACTTATATCTAATATCATTAAAAGAAAACGCCTCAATACTTGATTACATAATTTCAAACCTTGCTCCTAGCTACATATTTCTGTAGAAACACATCTTCAAGAATTTAGTTAAGGCATGCTTTTTCAATTCAAAATCATGCCCAGTGTTTTTTTTGGTAAAGCTATGGAATCTAATCATGGGATTGTAGCCATTACTACGTTGGACTTTGCTTTACATACATCGAAAGGATGACAAAGTTGATGCGAAGACATGTCATTGCAAATCATGAAAGCGGGGTAATCCAATGAAGATCCAAAGGTAATGTCGCGGCAAAGAGATGGGCAAATTAAAGCTGATTTTACTTCATTGTGATTGTCTCATTTTCATTCATCATTATTTTGAATTTCTACTTCTGAATTATGAAATAAATGGGTGTCACAGTTTATTTACAAATAAATTAACTGAACAGGGGCGGAATGATCATTTTTTTAGAAATAGCTACCCCACAGCTATTTTTACACAGCTGCAACAAACAGACAGCCAGCTTCCCCGCAACAACTTTCTGGGGAAAGCTGAGAAGCTGCAGCTGCAACCAACAGAGCCTTAATCTTATGTTTCCTTCAACAGGCCAACATTCTACACCATAGAGCATTGCAGGTCTCACCACCGTATTATAAAATTTTTCTTTTGGTCTAAGCGGTACTTTTCTATCACACAAAAGGCCCGAAGCATTCCTCCACTTCAACCAACCAACTTGAATTCTACTATTAACATCCCCATGTATATCACCATCACTTTGAACAACGGACCCAATATATCTAAATCGCTCCCACTTTTTAATAATTTAATCACCCAAAGTCACACTTTTGTCACTAGAGCTATTACTACTAAAATTACATTCCATGTATTCAGTTTTAGGTCTACTTAAACGAAGGCCTTTAGAATCCAATTTAGACCTCCATAACTCAAGTTTTTCCTAGGTTTTTTCTCTCGTTTTATCCACGAGAAGGATATAATCAACAAAAAACATACACCAAGATACATCCTCCTGTAGATGTCTAGTAAGACCATCCATACAATATCATGTGAAAATAGGAATAAAATAACTCCTAGGGGAGAATCACATAAGCTAATTGATTCATCTGTCATTCTACAAATTAAAAAAAAAAAAAAACCCCGAAAAAGTTTAAAAGCAGTAACATACGCTTACACATGCACAATACATAAGAATACGCTAGTATCCAGGCAAACAAGTAACATATTGCACATAAGTATGTTTTTTATATTCATGTGGATGCACAAATGACGTATGAGAATCTGTGTTTATAAGCACTCACATGCCTGTACGTGCATGTAATTGCGTAAACTTAACCAAGGATACACTCATTGCACACTATGATTAATTGTTTCCATCATATTTTGATCACAGGACTTCAAAATGGAAGAAAAAAAAAAAGAAAAAAGCATAATGGCATTGAACAAATGGAAGTAGCCAGGGAAGAAAGAATTATACAAAAAAAAAAAAAGTTAACGTACAAAACTTTTATAATAATAAAAACCAAATGTTTAAGAGTAACCATAGTGAATTTTCATATTGTAAGCATGCCACACTGCTCAAATTTTACATAAAATAAACTAAATATATTCTATATATTTTGGACTTTTTACCTTTCGTATTTGTCTGCACTGAATTTCTTAATTCATAAACCATCTACTCTAATATGGTCATAAATCTTACATTTTAAACTTATAGATCGAGAGTTTTAATATAATGATGATCATTTTTAATCTTCCTCGAAGATACCATAGTTAAATGGTCTCCTTTAAAATTTAAAGATAGTCTGTCACTACATCATCTTAGTAAATGTTGGGGTTATGACTTCGTACATTAACCCCTCTCTGTATCACAGTCAGGCAAAAGTTTAATGGACTAAGTATGCCCACTTTTTTTCATTTATTTTCCGTTCTTGTTATAATTTTTTTTTGTTAGAAATATTATTTAAAATTTCTAGCATTACTTGATATATAAATTTCATAATCTTAGTTCATAACAATCTAAACTTCTTATATTATTAAACATAAAGTATATAAAAAATATATACTTTTGCTGCAAAATTTAAAATTTTATGTTGCAGTCATATTTTGACCTCAGACAGTTTTAACCATATTTTTAATAATTTTAGTAAGGAAGTAAAATAAATTAAACAGGTTCTAATTTTAAATCAGAAGTTGAGCAACCACAAGAAAGCTTACCTTGGATCCATATAAGACCTCATATCAAGTGTCTCCTGGAAGTGAACATGACCACTCAATTTAGTTAAGCGGCCACGAGCATCCTGACCAAATCGCTTCAAATGGATTGTTAGGATAGGTGGAACTCTGTCAATTAGGATCCTTTTTGTTGCATCCCTCTTGACCATCTTGACTCCCTCGCCCCTTTCCTCTGGAAGAGCTTTACCAGACTTCAAACCTTTCTTCCTCACTCGGCTAACTTCTTGGGATCTGTCAATGTTTGATTTGTGTAGTAATATATCTGTCTGAGACTGAGAACTATGAAAGGCAACTTTTGGTTTTTTTCCATCATTTTCAACATAACTTCGATCATTTATGCCATGGAAACTACTCTCTTGATTGCTAGAACCATCTACACAGATTGTAGTAGAAAATAATTCAGAAGTCTCTGAATCTGACATGTCTTTATCAAGATCATCTGGCCAACAAGCCATACTGGAGCAAGGAGTGGTCTTTGTTAGATGTATGGTTTTATTGCTGCTGATCTCTCCACTACTCTGTGATCCTCCTTGACCGATTTGTTTCTGGGAGCAACTTATTTCCTCACATTGGTCAAATCGTTCTTCAAACTGAATGGCTAAAGTTTTGGATGAAGACACCAGCTTTCCATTATCTAAAACTTTGACATTGGCAACATACCCATGGGAGTTGGAATCAAACTTGTTACTTATGACTTCATCTTCATCCAACATTGACGTCAGATTCACAGACAGATCAGAAACTTCAGCAGCTTGCAGTTTGCTTGTTCCAGGTTCCCTATTCTCTTGCAGCATCTCAGAGCAACGCTCACAATACCATCCTTGTTCATCAGACAGAAGCTCGGGCTTAGTAAATAAGGTGAGGCAGCTATTAATTGATACGGGAACATCCGTATCATCAACCTCTTCCAGATTTGATTCACTGATGTTACCATTCAACAAAGTTATGTCCATATCTTCTCCCGCATTGTTTTCTGCATTTAAATGAGAAGTAGACTCAGGCTCATTAAATAGATCACCAAAACCATCAAATTCTTCATCTGCTTGTTTGCAACTAGAGTTAGCATCACAAGACTCACTAATAGAGACATCTATAGTATTTACATTTACTGAATCCTGAGAATAGGATGTTCTATCATTCATATCCAGGTCAGCCAAATCCTGGTCCTGGTCCTTATAGGGAAGTAATATTACTTCAGTAGCTGGAGCGCAAGAATGGGGGACTTCATCATTAGAAGATCTCTCAACAAAAGCATCTAAAGACACTGTCAAATCATTAGAACAGCTAGCAGTATGCAAATCAGAAACAGATTGCACAATGTTCCCAGTCCCATTACGCAATTCGGAAACAGATTGTACATTGGTAGCAGTCTCATTTTCCTGCTTGGTATAAGTACTATGCGCAATAGAAGCTTCCAAGTCATGAGCATTGAAACCACTGCAATTTGGTGACTCTGCTACAAGATAATCCATCCATGCAAGGTCCTGTGCTTCTGCAGCATCAGCATGTGTTGGCAGTGGAACAGCTACTCCTGATTCACTGCATTCTGAGGATTGTTCATTGCTTTCTGAATTCTGATTCACACTCATGGTAGACATCTGAGGAACACCCCTGTCTAGAGACTGCTGCGCTTTGTTTTTATCCCTTTGGTTAGCTCTCTTTGGAGGAAGAGGTGGAACCTTTTTTGGTGGATGTTTCTTTGAAGGAACTGGCAATGAAAGGTCCAGAAAAGGCTCAGTCACAACTGATGTATTCCGGCATTCCATGCACGAAACAGTGCTTGATAGCTGACCACAAAAGATGGCATCGACTAAACTAGCTTTTGTTTTCGTACTGATCTTCTCATCATCATCAAACTCTGATGATTTCCTTGCATTTGTTTCCTCCACATGTAATCCATCAAGCAGGTGACGGAGCAATTCATGGCTGTCTTGCTGCTGGTACCCCCTGAACTGCGATGCCTTCGCACATATACAACCAAAAAGAGCTTTAGGGTTTATAACACCCTTAGAATCTGCTCCTCTACTTGTTTCTGTGAAAAGATTCCTAAGTACCACAGAAAGAGGACCAAGAGGCCTATCCAAACCCAATAAATTGTCTCGCAAAAGATCCATAGCAAAGAGATTCTGCATGACAGCGTTAAAGAAACAAGTGTTCCCCAAATTCGAAAGGCCTCTAACTTTGTGACCCTTCAATTTCTCCGAATCGAAAGGCTCAAATGCAATACCTCTCAAACTCGAACTCCTATCATTATTCGTTATCTCATTCCCATCATTCTTTAAATCCTCTGGCATCTCAATAGGCACCGAAAAAGAACAAGCATAGCACCAACTGATAATTGGATCATCAGCTCGAACTGCCCACTGGTGATGGTCTTGCTTTGCGTGTCGCCGGGCATGGCCGTAAGGCTCCAAAATACTCACTCCACCCCCGCAGAAATACCGGCCACAATCCAAGCAAACCCACATGAAATTTCGCTCTGATTTTGCCTCAGCAGCACTTCTTCCCGCACCTTTCCTCTTAGACTGCTTACCTTTTTCATTCCCCCCTCTCCTGTTAACTGGATCGTCTCTGCAATGCTCACAGGCCACAGCATCCATTGAAGAAGATCGGATTTTAATTAGAATCCGACTCAGCTCAGCCGTACTTTTACTGTAGTGATTGCAAACCTTCTTATCTTTATCCCCGTCACCGCCAGACTCATCAAGAACCGATTTTGGGGATCCCACAGAAATCCGGTTCTGAGCTTTACGAGGGTTTGGAGCCTTCTTATTCATCTTCTTCCCCATCAGTACTTATCAATAAATGCAACAAATTGAAAGAAAACAAAAAACTTGTAGTATAATCTTTAGCAGACAAGAATCAAACAAAAAAGGAACCGATTTTCACAGGAGGAAAGAAGTCAAAAGGACAATATCAGAATCATTTAAGCTGTTCAAGCCTGGATTTGCGAAACCTATTTCAGCAATCCCTATTGAAGGATAACCAGATCATAGCTTCTCCTGAAATCTGGACAGATCTCGACTCCAAGGCAGGCAATCAAAACCGAATGCGTAGATTTCAATCACAGATGGATTGATTATTGCAGAGATTGAACAAATTAGATGAAAGAGCAGGAGCACGAGTATTCTTTTACCTGATCCGATGGGAACCAGGTATAGAAAGGAGAGAAAAGCTCCGACATCCGGTGGCCTGGCGAGGGTTTATCTTCGAAAGGTCGTGCAATAACTTCTCTCGGCCGGGGACTCTTGATTGGAGATAGATTTGACTTCAGGAATATAATGCTTGAATTATGCAGGATATTTTAGTTTGTTTTTTCAAAATTTTCAAACTTTCAATCTTAAGATTTTAAATTAAGAATATTATCTATATATTATATATGGGAATTTGAAATTAAATTCACTTTGTATTTTAAAAATATATAATTTATCGTAAAATTTTAAATATCAACATGATCATAAAATTCGAAAGGTCGTGCAATAACTTCGCTCGGCCGGGGACTCCAACTTTCAACATGTCTCTCTCCTCTAGCTTATCATTTTATAATTTAAAGTTCATGATTTTAAGAATAATTTATTTTTGAAATTCAAACAAGATAGCTCAAATTTGGAATAATTTATTTTGGATTTCATAGGATGAACATCAAATATTGAGAAGCTCAAGACTGCTTCAAACTATCCAATACATTTCCTAAACTTACTTACAACCCTACTTGGAAAGGGCAACCAACTAACTCACTAAATGTCTCAAAGCCATGAAGTCAGGTCACATAACAACGCAAGATGAGGATGTTGTTGTTCGATCATGAAATTTGTTGGCACTTATAGCTCAACTTTATAAGTCATGTTGTTGTCAATCTTCGAGAAAATAGGTTGAATCCTGAATAAGATCCCCCATTTTCCCTTTGCTTTCATTCCATTAAATAATAATATTACAATCTATTTTAAGTATGAAATATTCTGTGTAATCTATTTTAGCTAATTTAATAATGTATATTCATAATCTAAATATTTAGCTAACAGAGAAATAAATCAGAATAAGGAAATTGGACATAATTTAAATAAGGAAGCTCTTAATTATAAAAAACTCATAATTTAGCTATTTGATTTCTGTCATTCCTAATTGAGACTTGTTTGACTACAAGAGGTATGCAATACTTCCAATAAATGCTTTAATTTTTTAATTCGTTATTCATCTTGAATTAAGTGTAACACTAATAGAAAAGATATGCTAGGAAATTTTTGAACATAATTTTAGGCTGAAAATTGGATTCAATATTTCCTAGGAAGTAATACTTATCTTTATAGGCATGGATGTCAAAAATTGACTCCGACAACTTAACCCGAACTCGACGAAATGAATTTAATTTCAGGTTGACCTAAATAATTTTTTAGTCAGATTAGAGTTAGAAACCTTAGCCTATTTAATTTTTTAGATTGGATTTGAGTTGCCCCATCATCTTAAAATTGACCTAAACCAACCCGACAAATTGAATTTGACTCAAAATTGACTCGACAACCTATAATTCATCCGAAATTAGCCCAAAAGTGACCTGAAATTGACCCAAGAGCTAATATTTCTTTGTTAAACGAGTTATATGTGTCGGGTTCAAGTTAGCAGGTAGAAGACGGGTTCATTTCAAGCTAAACTTCTTAACCCGTTTAATATTTGAGTCGGGTTCAAGTCAGCCAGTTTCAAGTCGGGTCAATTTAGGTTTAGGCCATAACCTCACCCGCAAACCAGATTTGACACCCAAATTTATAGGTGGATGGACCAATATAGTAAATAGATAGATTGATCCACCCATATTTATTTAGATTGATCCACCAATATAGAGCATGCGTGAAATTTTACTCTATTGGAGTAAAGACAAAAAATATATACATTTTCCTTCTTCGATTTATTTATTGCTACATGTTCTTGTTTGCTTATATTGTAATCTTACCCATTCCATCACGCATTTCCTTGTTCATCGATTATTTAAGTAATTATAAAACATTGAGTACTACAAAATGAGATTGCCTAAGAGTTCCTAGTTTATGTTCTTCTTTATGATTTATTTTTAATTATTTAGTTCTAGCAAAATAATTTGATTTCTTGGGAGTGTAGCATATCAAATATCTAGGCCATACACTAAATATAAAAAATCTAAGAAAAAATATGCCATACTATTGTGTAATCAAAGTAAACAAAACAAAAAAAAAGTGAATAGATAAAAAATATATATAGGGCTGTCAAAACGGATCGTGTTCAACTCGTTAAGTAGCTTGTGTTTGATTCGTTCGTTAAGCAAACGAGTTGAACACGAACAATTTTTTGCGCTTGATATATAAACGAGCCGAACACGATGTTCAACCAAAACATATATATAAACGAGCCGAACACGATGTTCAGCCAACACCTAAAATCTACCCTGGTCGAAATCATACCTAGACAATTCACCATAGCTTGAAACTTCATTCGGAGGTTCGTTGGGTCCAATCAAAGCTACCACAACCTTTTGATTGAGGCCTCCCTGCTCAGACAAAGGTATTGAACCTCAACTCTAATCCGAGCTTATTTTGATTCTTCATTTGTAATGGCTTGATTTCATACATGATTAACC